TATATTATGTTAACATGTGATGATCGGCATAATTTTGGCCAAACAAACTGGCCGGATAATTTTGATCGCCCTCTGTAAATATAAAATCAGTAACTTTTTATGTAATTTATATTTTTTATCTATAAATACAACATGTTTTCCTATAATACTCTTTTTATATATATATGTATCTATATATCTTCATGATTTTCATATAAAACATTTTATTTCAACTAATAAAATAAAATTTAATGCTTTTAAAATAGTTTTTTGTAATCTATTTCATGTATAATCATAATAATCATATATATACCTTTTTGCTACTCTCAATATATTTAAATAAAATTTAATTTACAATGAAATTTGTGATAAAATATATATTTATGCTAAGTTTCCTCAATTATTGTTTCCAATTCTGATTTTATGCAAGAAAATCTGGTTGTAAAGACATAATTTTATGTATTCTTGTTGAATCTAGATCACAGATAAATTAGATTGACTTAAAATTTTGTGTGAGTAATTATCCAAAATAAAAAGGGGGTATTTTGTTTTTTTTTACATAACTGACTATCAAGATGCAAACCATCATATCATAATCCTCTTTCAATTAATACTTGTTTAATATCTTTAGGTTGATTTGAATATTTTGAATGATTAAAAGAAAATACCATTGATTGTAAAGTATTTTCTGACTTAACCATTTTTTAGCAACTAATTTTTTATGAGAAATAGGTGTAATGCAGCTTGAGCTTGATATGTAAAAATTTTTAAACAAAAATTGAAAATGAAAAAAAAGGATATATGGGGCCTTTGCAATAGAAAGGGGGGAAACTGCCGGGAAAAATTAATTTTACTTTATATGCCAAATATGATTTTTATGCTGAAATATGTTTAAATTTAGCATTAACTCATTTTTGATTTTTCCGGCTGTTTCCCCCCTTTCTATTGCAAAGGCCCCATATGTTTATAACTTGAATAGATATAAGCGTTAGGGAATGTGATCATTTTTGTAATATTATACAAAATTTACTTATTCTCAAATTTTCCCTATCACAATAAGTTTAATAGCTTTTGATATTTCTTTCAGAATTAATTGTTATTATTATATTTATTTTGAAATTAATTTAAAAAGGCCACATTGTTATAGAGATATAAATTACAATAGATAAATTTTCTCAGTTTTTTATACGAGAAATTTTAGCCAATCAAAATCCATTGAAAAATAAAGTTCAATAAACTTGTTGATCTACTTGATTTTGCTGTTGTGTAATTGTGTAATCTATAAAACAAGTTTAAATAGGATAATTGGTATTTAAAAACTTTTTCGGATAATAATGTCTAATTATACTAAATATACTGATGGTGGATACGAAGTTCGAGGAACAGCGAACGCAAAAGAACAAAATCGAAGTGTTAAAAATGATAGTTTTCTGGAAATGGAGGGTAATTCAAAAAAGCATTCTATGAATTCTATTAGATTGTAAACCAATTAATTTTTTTTTTAATTTTCTTGAAGCTGCCATGCGACAAATCAAAGCAAAATGGGAATTTATGACAAGCGAAGAAGTAAGCATGTTAATTTTTATTAAGTTAATTCTAATTAATTTACTTCTAACATATTTTTATAATTAATAGTTTAATCCCGTTCCACTTGCTTTGGAATTACTTGATGGTAGTTCTCTTGGCAAAGATTACAGATTATTTAAGCAAATGAAGGGTCAATTAGACAAAGCTCTTCAATATATTGTTAATGGTATATAAATAAGATTAATTAATTATTTGATTATGATGCTTGGATTTTAACTTTAATTCATTATTTTGTGTTTAGATTATTATCAAGGATTTAATAGTTCAATTGGTACATTTGGCGGAGTTATGCAAAATATTGGAGGTAAGTTTAACGTATTTGCTTGGTCTTGCAATTTCTTAATATCATTTTTAATAATATTTCGGATTTAAATTAGATTCTCAGGAAAGAGTAAAGGAAATGAAGTCGCAACTTAAAACATGTAAAGAGATGTTAATGTCAAAACGTTCAGATCTCCTTCAATTATGGTTCCGTAGTCAGCAATATAAAGAAATGATTCGTATATTAGATCAAATGTAAGCATATAGCCGTTTTGCTATTAAAATCGCGTTATGTATTACGATGATTTCTCGCGACTCTATTTTAATAGCAATGATCACGATATATATATATATATATTTTTTAAAAAAAAGATGTATATTATTTATTCATTATTTTATTTTTATTTTTTTGTTTATAGTGAGGAATTTAAGGAAACTCCAGAAAAGCTGGAAGTTTTGTTAAGGGATAAACATTTTCTAACAGCCGCTAAAATGCTTTTGGATGCAATAAAGTCTTTGGAGAAGAAAGAAATGATTGGAATTGGAGCTTTATCAGATTTAAGGAGATATCTTAAAGCGCAACAAAATGTAAGAGTAAAACCAATGATCTTAAAATAATGATTAACGTTATTAAGTTTCATTACCATTACCGTTACATTTAGTCACTCCATGAGGTTTTAATTGAGGAATTACACAATCATTTATATCTTAAAAATTCATATTGTGATAGTAGATGGGTAAAATACACTAAAGATCAGAAAACGCGTATGTATTTAAAAATTATTTCTTTTTAATTATTTTTTAATATATGACTTGACGTTGAATATGTTCATATGTACAGTGCCTTCACCGCTAATGGAATGGCAATCTGGAAAAGAGACCCGCATGATAAGTTATATGACCTTAAAGAATAAGAAGAATTTACAAGGTAGGCAAAAAAAATCCTTAAAACAATTTTTTTTTTATTTAAAAATATTAAAGGACGATTAATAAATTATATATAGTCAATACTGGTCTTACTATGAGCATGCCTCTTAGCCCTAAATCGCCTAAACCCTTAAATAATAACATAACATTTAATGATGAGGATGAAATGGTAAGTGACATAAACGTGAAACGTGTATTTCTTTCAAAAGATTTTTATTAATTTATATAAATATTATAACAGATCGTAGAAAATCTTGATATAAATCCTGAGACTGACTCATTCTATTATTTGGAAATTTTAATTGAATCTCTCTCTACTTTGAAAAAATTACCACAAGCTCTTGAGGTATTATTTTAATTTATGTTATAATTGCTATTATATTGTATGTATTGCTAATTTAATTGGTTTATTAGACTATAACACAGAGGATTCCAATAGAATTATATCAATTAGTTGATAAAACAATTTCTGAAGTGGAAGAAAGGTATAAATAATTTAATTTATATACAGTCAATTTTCAATAATAAATCATATTATCGAATTTTCTATGCGTTTATTACAAGACACAAATCGTTTTAGAGATTTTATCTTCAGTTATCAAGTTTGACTATAAATTATTAATTTAATTTTTTCATTTTACTTTAGGAATTCTGATATTTTTAGTCAAAAGTCAAAGATAAATGATGTAGCGGATATATTCTCGCTAGATTATCCCGAGAACGATGCTCAAATGGAAATATTAAGAGATTTACTTTGGACTCTATATTCTAAATTAGATGCTGTATTACAGGGTCATAGGTTCATACTCGAAATGGTGGATAAGATAAGTAAGGTTAGAGTCGTTATTTAATTTACTATATTTCTCTCGAATTCAACCAAATCTTAATGTTTATGTTTTTTTTAGAGACCAGAGTATCAAAAAAATGGTGGGTGCCAATTATTTTTACTTTCTATTTTATTATATGAATTACTTGGTATTCACACATCATTAATTTTTTATCTAGATTCACAAAAGTTCAAGATGCATTCTTTTATTGAGATTTGGAAGCCTGTACAAAGTGAGGTATAAAAATAATTATATAACTTATTGTTATATTAGTCTAATTATTTAATTAACACCTTTTCATTCTAGGTTCGCACGCTTTTACGTGATTATATAACAGAAGATGAGAGAGTATCTATTTCTGAAAATACTTCTGAGGCGTCCATTCAGGAAATGATAAAAGACAGGCGAGCTCGTGACGCTTCCAAGGTTTTTATTATCATTAGTATCACTGAAAATAAAATTATTATGTTGTTAATTTTATATAATTTTTATTGTAGCAATTATTTAGATTTGGTGATTCAGATACAACGTTAAATGAAGAATTAAATAAACAATATAAGAGAGATATTTCAACAGTACTTCAAAATTCTATGCCGGAAGTATTTGCAAAAGTACCGGATGAAAGACAATTATCTGTATTTGTAGTCGATAGATTTGCAAATGCAAACATAACGGCAGGACATAGACTTGTTATTAAACCTGATGCATTTAATGTTTCAATTATATTTAAACCTACACTCGCGTTTTTAGATAAAGTTAAAAAAATTATACCATCAAGGTAAATTATAAGTCAAAGATACAAATATATTAATATAATACTAATTAATTTAAATCAACTTATTATGTATTTAGTGCGCATCAGTCTTCTGCGGACTTCACAACTTTCTTGGATGACTTTGTATTTAATGTTTTCTTACCGCAGATTGGGGATAAAATATTTGAAATATTTCGTCAATCCACAGCTGGTAATAATTAATTATTATTATGGATTATTATACTTAAATAAATATATTAAATTTTATGCAAATCAATTAAACTAGAATCTGATGCTTTCCAGGAAGATCCAAATTACAAGACTTATTCTGCATTGCCAGTTATCAAGGTTAAAAAAAATTTTTTTAATCCTTATAAGCTTTGAAAAATGTCCTTTTTTATTAAAATATATTTTTTCTTAGAGCGCATCTTCATTGATGATGATTGTAGAAAGTCTTTGTTCCATGCTTTATAATATGGCAAGCCACAAAGAAGAATACAGTAAAATGATCATCTCACTTCTTACACAATATTATGTGAAATGTTTTGAACAATATCAAGGTAACTTTACCTTATGTTATCTTCCCTCTTTTTTTGTATAAAAAAATTTAAACCTAAATAAAATGCATTTTTATTTTTGGGGGCTTTGAAATATAGCAACCGTGTCAAAGAACAAAGGAGAAGGAACTGTAAAAGACGATGCAAATAACCAGGGAATTAGTGCTACTTGGGTACAACAAGATCAATTATCCGAAGTCTTAGGACAATATCCTTATGTAGCTGAAGATAATCTTAAAAATCGACGTAAACGAAAACAACTCTGTGATAAGGTGATTATTACGTATTGATTTATTACTTAAATTATATTATGATTTAACTTTTTTATTCTCATCAGGAAACCAGAATTGAAATGAATTTTAAAAGAAATCGTGAAATTAGTTTAGGACAATTAATTACCGATAATAAGAAATTAACTGCTTTAGCGAACTTTTATCACAGCTTGGTAGGGAATGATCAATTGTGATGATAAATTCTTCGAGTTACTTACTGATTGCTATTAATTTTTGTAGAAATGGTTTGTTGCAAAAATTTGGGAACTTCGTGGCAAAGATTCGAAATCAACAGGCAACCTGCATTCGACTAAAATGGATGATGGAAATTTGGTAAATATGGAAATGCAACGCATTTTTATAGAGTATTATTACATAAATATAGTAACCTTTCATGTTTGATTCATTGTCAGGCCAAAATAAGTCGTCGTTGGTCATCATATGGTGATGTTAATTTTAGTTTAAATGTCGATGATGAAAAGAAGAAAGAAAATGGGGATAAAGAAATTAGCTTACCGTTGACAGGAGAAATGGCAAAGTATGTTGATTTATGGCTATTTTTAATTATCGTAAATCATACGTGATTATTTTTTTAATTCATGAATTTGGAATAGTCGATTTGATGCCCTATTGGCTACTTTTCAACAATTGGCTGAGCAAAACTTGTTCACTTTAAGAATTGAACTACGTTGTCATACTTTGCATTATCTTGATAAAGCGATGCGTGAGGTAAATATATGTTTTTGACCTATAATAATATTTATCAAAGCTATTTATTTTTAAACCATTCTCTCCATAATTGTAGGGTAATTATCAACTCGAATATGAAGCATACGAACCTGATCCATATGTTTTAACACTTAATGCTGACATGGTAAAATTTAATGAGAGCATCGCATCTCATTTACCAACGAAAGAACATAAGTAAGATAGATACATATCATTATCTATTTATTTTTCGTTTACTTAATTTCTTAAATTTTAAATTTTTAATTTTTTTCTTTTTTTAATAATAGATTTGTATTTGAAGGTCTTGATGCATTAATGGAACATTCGTTGGTAAATAATGCCGTTTATATAAGAAATTTAAATACTAACGGTGTTATGAAAATGACGCGTAATATTCTTGCATTACAACAAAATTTAAAAAATATTGTTGAAACGCCTGGTGATATTTCATTAGAAAGAGCTAGAAGATATTATGAAATGTTCAACATGGGACCTGTGGTATGTTTCATATTGGATTTCTTTTCGTTAAACCCGCTAAACCACATTTTCTAATAAATTTATTTTTTTCTTTTTAAAATATATATATATATATTTTAGAATATGTTGACTCGAATTAAAGAACAAGGTGCTATATTTTCATTTGAAGAATACAAGATAATGTTAGAAATTATGTATAAAATTGATCCAACGGACATGCAAACTACACCCTCTACACGCCGTGATAGTCCATCTTCTAATAGAAGGTTGTATAATGAAAATCTTTTGGAATTGAATGAATTAATGCTTGATTTCCTATAGTAATTTATTTATATAGCATAATATAGATTTATTTTTTTTTCCCTTAATAATTTGTATCTTTATAATTGAAATTTTTCCATGCCATGAAATGATCATTTATTTTCGAAATAAATAGAATGATCCAAAAATAATGATTTTATTTTATTTATATATATTATATTTATTTTTTTTAAAAAATAATTTTTTTTAATTTGTTTCGTTATAAATTAGAGCATTCCGATTTGTATATATATATTGTCAATAGAAAAATACAAAATGAGAATCGTGAGCAGAAATCATATTTTTACATAAAAAATTTAAAATTTTCCCTTTTTCTAATCGATCTTTATTAATTTTTGAAAAGGGCCAAAATTTACAGATCTAGATTTAAATGCTGGAACAAAAGTTTTTCGCAGCTGCGGGCGCAGAATTTTTTAATAGTAGAAATTTTAGGTTTTATAACAAAGTAATAAATAACAAATAATTAATAAGTTAATTCATTTTTTGTGAAATTTATAAACCTTAAAAATCTTGGGACATAAAACTTCTGCGACAGTAAAATCAATGAAACAATAAAGAATTGACCATTTCTTTGACTATTCAAAGTCAAGAAAGGAAAGAAAGGATGATATAAATAATAGTTTCCATTTTTTTTTTTTTTTTTTTAAAAAATTAGATTTATTTTACTTCATTACATGATTTCCTCTTTTCTTTCTTACCTCTAAAGGTTGGTTGTTGCACGAATTTATTTGAGATAGACATTTAATTGCTCGCACAAAAAAAATTCAAAATGTTTGTTGATTCCGGAGATAATGCACATGCTGAATGACACAAATTCATTAAATAATTATGATAATCTATTGAGAATGAAAAATTTTTTTTAATATATGGGAAGATTGCTAGAAAAATCAGTTATTTTGACTAGTTTTAAAATGCAATAAGAATCTGTCAAATAAAGTTTTCAGATATTCGACTATTCTAAATTAAATATATTTTATTTGTATGCTCCCATTTATCACGTGATAAAGAAAACACGTCTTTTTTTTAACAATTTAATGAGTGATTTCTATGAATTCCAAGCATGTAGAAATACTTTTAACTAATTGAATAGAAATATAGGAATTTGACAAGTTTCTCGGATGACTGACGGTTAATATATTGCATCCTTGATTACAAATATATACAATCTCTATTTCGGATAGATATGATTTATACCATTTTAAACCTATAAAAATATTAATTTATTCTTTAACTGATACTCATGAACGATTTGAAAAAAAGATTTCATTATTCGGGACAATCCAAATCACAAATTCAAAAAACAAAAAACAAAAACAAAATAATAATAAATATATTAATCGGATTTAATACTTGTGTTGTGTTTATAACTAAAGTGTACGCGTTTGTAAGTGAATAATTGGAACACAAAAATTTTCTGATGATATGTCACGTGATGCGATCTGGTATTTCGAAATATAACGACTCATTTTAAAGTTAATTTCTTTATTATTCAATTCACGATTCAAGTTTCCTCAAAACTTTATCCCTTTATTCAAAAATATATAAAAATTCCTTATCCGCAACCAATCAAAAGAATTAAATTCGAACAAAATCTCGGGAAAATAAAATGTAAAATTTTATTAAAGACGGACACATTCTCAAAAAGAAACCACACCACCACTTAACAAAACAATCTTTTGAAAAAATGATTCGACAAGATGGATGCGAAATTGGACGGATCATGTGTCACATACATCTCCCGGACATGTTGGCTAGGTAGCAGGGCGATGCCATGTTCAAAAATTTGAGGATAATGGAATTTTTGAATTTTAACTAATTTTTAGAAATTAAAGTCATTCGATCGCGTCTACTACCACTTTTCAAAACATCATAAGAATCTCTTCTCAAAATAGATATTACTTCTCACTGTACCACAAAATCCATATAAATCCTTTATTAGTCGTACCTTATACAATGATGATTAAAAATATAAATAAAATAATAAACGAGGGCAAATCTTCTGAAACCAACGGTATCTCTTCTTGTATTTGATCTATTGGGTGAAACATGAGTATCGAGACACGGATTACGCCAGAATTACGTTGGAAGTAAAAACATTCCTAATGCAAATTTTTTTATCGCTGACATTTCGATTTGTTATCGGTTATATCGATTATAATAAATAATAATAATAATAATAATACAAATTCATCCTATATGATTCCGGAATTGGGTAGATCCGGGTAGATCCGAAAATTAAGGATGAATTCGGAGGTGTTACTATGTTAATATCCGAATTTGGTTGAATAGTACAAAATGAATCCGGAGATTTCACTAATTTTGACGAGTAACTACGATACGGATTCTAAAGAGTTAGTTACCTCCGCGAATTAATCATCTTAGTTACAATTATTCAATTATTCAGGAGTTAATTCCTTGAGTAATCAAACGGTTGGATATACCATAATTCCGTTATCACAATGACATCAAAATAAATAATCAATAAATTTGTACGATCGAACTTGCTTACATTTGAAAGGAAATTAAATTTGCGGATGACGCGAAATTTTTAACTATCCCATCTTGGTTAGATTATAATTAATGGTTTATTACGAGAAACCGACGCGTAAAAAAAAAATAATACACGATATTTGCGATATTTGAAAGTCCTTTGCCCCTTAAAATGATTAGTATTCTAAAATAATATATATCAATCTGCTAAGAACATCGACAAATCCCGAGTTTCAAAGTATCAAAATGAGCTTTATTAATTCATCGTTAACTCATCACATACGCGTCGAACTTTTTTTAATCAGCAAAAAAAAAATGTTTAATCGTTTAATCGAAATACATCAAAAAGAGGGGAGGTTTTAAAAAATAAATTTAATAAATAATATAGATAATGATTTTTTCGTACGACAAAGCTTTTCGAACAATTTGCATCAAATTTTTTTTTTAAAAAAAAAAGGGGCGTTCTAGGCATAAGGTGGGTAGGGTGGTTCTTTGTTTTAAGTATGACCATTTCCAAATTCCTACTTCCTTAAACATGATCAAACCTACATGTTTGCTTTTTGTAAATAAACTGACTGCTGATCATACCCTTTAAAAAATCGAATTTTAAAAAGGAAATCCTGTTTGTAATCGCATCCATTAAAGGATGCCGCCGTTTTAAACATGATAGTTTCTCCCGATATAGTGGGTAACATGGCATGGAATAAATATATTTTATTGTAACACACGGAGAATCATTAAATAATGGGAAATCAATTTTGAAATGGTACCTTAATAATGACGAATTAGTTAATATTCCCCAAAAATTTTAAATGCACGATTTAAATTAAATATTCAAAATAATAAACAACTTGACGCAACCTCATAACAAAAAGGAATTCAGCAGATATTGCGCCATTCGTACATCATGAACTTTTATGGTTTTCCAATAAGATGATTGTATTATCATTCCTAACGCTTGCATTTGCATCCTTGAATCATAATTTTTTTTTTAAAAAAAAGATGATGACTTTTTGTTCTCTGCTATTAAATATCCATGCTTTATCGAGCATTCGTCGGGCGTTTACGAATGAAAATTTACCGATAACCTACCCATATAAAAAGATTTAATTGGGATGATTTTTTTACACAAACATCAAAAGAACCACCAAAACTTACATCATACATAACATACCTCACCGGAGCGATAAAGAAAAATTTAATTCAACACAACCCCTATTTTACTTTAAAAAAAAAAATACGAAACAATTAATATAATTTGAACCATGTTATACTTCAAAGCTCAAGATTTTCATAGGACAGTTTCAGAGTACATAATGAAATCATGTTTGTAAATTCATATCCATTTTTGGTAAATTTTTTTTTTTAGAATCATCATAAACCTTCATTTCAATCATAAAAAAAAAAAGAAAATATAATTTACCGTATCGAAAAACGTGGACAAAAAAAAAAATCAAATAGCAAAAGAGAAAAAATTTTCCTTTCAAATTAGGGTTCAATCATTTTTATTTAAAAAAAAAAATTGCTTTGTCATCTATAAAAGATTTTTTAGTTAAAACCGGATTTTTAGCCACACCAGATTCCGCAATTTCTACCAAAATTACGGAAAATGGAAATCCATAGATTGATATAAACATTTAAACATTAAACCCTAATGTAATTTATCCGTATGATATCTATCTACGGAATTGTGCAAATGTGTAAAAGACCCATTCAAAACAAAATATAAATGGTATCATTGAATTCTTTTATCATCAACACTATAAAATCAGATGATCTTCAAAAAAGTTTTCGCCAAAAAAATCAAAGATTAAGATCCTGTAATATTGCACACAAGTTAGATATCTGACATCATTTAATAAACAAATATACCTGACAGGCAAAATAAATAAGTCATGGAGACCAATGTTTTTGGGCGTGCGATTTTTCGATGCATAAGATGCTTGTTAATAGGTCAAAGATCACGTGTGATTTCTTTTATTTACGTATTACAATGATACAATTGAAACGCGTTACGATAATGTTTACGCGATGTTTATTTAGGCCAACTTCTATTTATTTTTCTTTGTTCTCCCGATTTACGAGATCTAGTTGTTCAATTAGATGATCGAATACACCATGTCGTCATTTGCTCGTGATAGTTGATCCATGCTGGGACATTTCTTGATGGATTGACTGCGGCATGTAAACGAATATGCAAGGGTTATGTTATATATGAAGGATTTTATCCATATCATTCATTTCAACCACCAAAACCTTTACGATTCTAGAACAATCCCCGAATTTCAACTTTTTTTTTTTTTTTTCATGCAAGAATGCTTTCCACTCACATTCAAGATATTTAGCCTAATTACCAATTAAGTATCTTGCAGAGTACAGCTCTTGATAAGGAGAACTTCGTAACTTGAGCGTGCTAGCGGTTACACGAACATGTAATTTGATCTGCGAAATGAAGACTAAACAGCTCGTCGTGGCGCACGTGTTCAACGAATTTTTGGAATCGTGAAAAATAAAAATAAAAAACAATTGTTACACCCCGAAAAAAATATAAATATAATACACTCACGTATATATATATATATACACACATCAATCATTTCTATTCTGAACCAAATTTTTTTCATTATAAAAATTAAGAGAGAGGACAAATTATTTGAGGGGTCAGATACTCCCATTAGGAATAATGATTCGTGTTTTAGTATTCAATCGGTTGTGTTTTAATTTCCATGACTTCCCTTTCACTTTCATTCTTATCCTTCATAGGTTATTAATGGAAATCAATTTGTAAAAAATTTTTTTCTTATTATCCCTCAAACGATACCAAAGATATCATTCCGATATCTTTTATTCGGATTTAATTTGTAAACACGCACGATCTACATCTAGAAAAGAGATGATGACACACAGCTAGCTTATTTGCTTGCGTCTCTTGCATTGGAGTGTTTATTCGAAAGATGTACAATATGTTCATCTGGCCGAAAAAAAACGAGAATAAGATAAAAGTTGATTTTTACAGCTCAAGTACAATGACATAATGTACATATGTACATAATGTACATAATGTGTAACGTACAATCTTTAATCGCGTTTCTACTCAAAAATGATTACGTATTCACGCATTTTATTTTATAAATAAATAAAAAAAAATGCTCTCTATTGTGATACCGACTTATTTAATATTCCTTTTGATTGAAGGAGAAAAACCAATAAATTAATTCCGAAAGGAATGTAAATGTATTTTTTTTTACATTGTGATAGGTTGTTTCGATTTAGATTTTGATTCCTAAAGATTTTTTTTTTTTTTCATTTGCTATCAATAGTAGTATATCTATCAAACTCTATCAAAACAATAATAACAATCATAATAACAACAATAATATGAGTGCAATATAATGTGTGGTCTCGGTAAATTGTTAATTAATATGGATAAAACAAGGGAATAAAAAAAAAATTTTTTTTTTTTTCCTTAAAAAAAAAAAAAAAAAATCGAAAATCACTAATTATTCTTCTTAAAACAATACAATACATTCAAGAAACTATTGTTTCAGTCTCCTTTCTCTAAACTTTTTTTTTTCATTTTTTATTTTTATTTTTTTATTATTTCTGCCTTGTTCGTCTTTTACACATACATCTATTATCACAAAATAACTCTTAATTTTTTTTTTCGTTCTGTCAAAAAAAAAAAAAAAATTTGACCAGCCAATAAGAAAGAATTTTTTGATACGCTTACTTACTAGTAATAATGCCAAACGTTCATTCACTTCCAGAGAACATATTTATTGCAATATTTCGTCATGTACCGATTTCTCAATTACATTCGGTATCAAGGGTATGCAGAGAATGGTCTGTACACGCATTTTCCGTTCTTTACCATCGTATATTTATCACACCGTCAGTTTGGTCTCATTTTATGCAACATCAGATATTTCAAAAATATTCTTCATATTGTAAAGAATTAATCGTATATTCGATTAATCTCACGGAGCAACATAAATCGTTATTATTGGAACATACTCATGATCTTAATAATTTGGCATTATTAAAATGTCATAATTTAGACGAGGATTTCCTATATGATTTTACAAATAAACATTCGACAACAATGGAAAAGTTAATATTATGGGGTCCACGATCATTTGAATCAGGTGTGACGATTCTGACAGATGGATTATTAAGACCAAGTTTGCCGAATATGTTAAACGTTCGTCATCTTTCGATTTGCGCGGCAAACATTTCCGATGAATTTCTATTACTGCTCGTTTCAACCTTAACAACCAATAACGTTCCATCACTAATTGGGTTAGATTTAACTGAATGTTGGAAGCTAACAGCCTTCGGTGTAGCAGAATTATTTTCCAATAATTTATCCTCACTTCGAGATGTCACACTTCAGTATCATAAAGAAAAAGAAATCGATGTGGAATTCTTTGAATTCCTGGCATCCAATTTTGCAACGCATAGATTTGAATATGTGGTCACAAAAAATTATCTGAGATATAAAGTTTTAATCGATTTCGACAAAATCTCTAGAGATTTGAATGCCATAGCAAACGCTCATCAAAACGTGACGGCGGTAACGAGAGAGAACGTTTGGACGGATGATGAAATAGTTGCTAAATGTAACGATTAACATTTAGAATAAAAAACATAGATTTAATATAGCAATCTTGTTGATGTAAATATATATTATGATTGGGAAATCAATTATATATGTGAAAAAAACGCAAGACTCAAAATAGAGAAACAAAAAAAAAAGGAAAATTAATTATTTTCCTTTCTTTATTAATTATTATACTGTATTTGTATTTCAATCTTTACTTAAAAGGGGGAAAAAAGAAAAGAAAAATTAATTTTAGCGAGAATTGTCTTTTTTTTTTTTTTTTTTTTCTTATTTTCTGTAAAAAAAAAAAAACAATATAATTTCGTTCAAAACTCTAAATGACGCATTTTTGATACGCACACGCGACAAACTGAATCACGTGAAGTCACTTATGAATATCATATGTAGACGATTGTAGACGATCCTGAATTATTTAGTAGTTTGTCCAAACTAACATATTTAATTTCGAATTTCTTCATTCTGATGTAATGCTTATTGAACATTTTGTAATAACGAATTTCTTTTTTTCGAATATATAAATCACTAAATCCTCTCCTTGATAATTCGCTACAAATTTTCCAAATTTTCTGTTAAAAAAAAACCAGAGAAAAAAAAGATTAAAAATGTCTGAACAAGTAAAAACAACGGCCGATGAGGCTCCAATGACAAAGGAACGTAAAGTCCCATTAGATCCGGAAGAACATCTCGGAAACGCCGGTTAGTTATTAAAGAAAAAAAAGGTGATTTATTATGTATTACTAATCGCCATAATACATAACCCGATAAATAATATGCATTTCCAGGATTGCCACGTGCTTGTATCGCTGCGTCTCGAGAGCATCCCCAAGGCTCTTCTGGAAGAAAATCAAATAAATCCGCAAGTCTTCAATTTTTATTTTTTTAAAAAAAAAAAAAAAAATTTAATTATTAATATTGCATCCGTGATTAATTTAGGTATTGCAACAACATGTCGAATACTTCGATATTAATGGCGATGGTGTCATTGGACCATTGGACACATTGAAAAGTAGGTAATTCCTACTATATACTATGAAATTTCAATACGTCAAACCGTTCAAATGCTATTACTGAATTTTTCATTTTTTTTTATATTAGAAACCCATGATTTAGGATTTAATATCTTCTTTAGTATTTTCGTCGCTACGGTCATTCATGGTAGCTTCTCTTATGTTACCCAAAAAAGCTGGATACCATTCCTTGGTAACCCATTTTTTAATATATACATTGAAGGCATTCATAATGCTAAACATGGATCGGATTCCGAAACCTATGACACGGAGGTAATGTCTCAACTTTTGCGTAAGACTTTGAAAATATTTCTTTTACACTAATGCAATTATTGAAATAGGGTCGATTTGTTCCCGAGAAATTCGAAGAGATCTTTTCGAAATATGATCGAAATAACAAAGACGGATTGAATTTTACCGATATCATCCATATGATGCATGTTAATGCTAATTTATTTGATCTTTTTGGTTGGTTCGCTACCGCTCTTGAATGGGGAACTTTGTATATGTTGTGTGTAGATAACAAAGGAATTATTAATAAGGAAGATGTGAGAGCGTGTTACGATGTGAGTTATTTTTATTTACATTTTTGTTTTCACATCCATGCACGTAAAAACTGGTTTGGTGAAAAAAATTTTTTTTTTTTTTTGGACTTATTCATTCATGTATAGGGAAGTCTCTTTTATAGAATGTCAAGCCTAAATCAACAAAACAAAGTCGGTGGTTGGCTTAAGCCGGGAATCACTTCTTTAAAAAGTCAAACCGAGGAATAAATTTCCCTCTGCTTTTTCGTTTACTGGATTGGGAAATTTTTTTAGTCAATAGACACATGTGCATTGCTTAATAACGCTATCATGCAAGATTTGTAACCACATAATAAAACGAGTTAAATAAATAAAAAAATCAATGTCATGTTCAATGTTCATCAAAATTTTTTTGCTTGTTTGTTTGCATATACAGAAACAGTTTCTTATCTCTACGAGATTTTTTTTTTGGAGGTTAAAACATGAATCATACAGGAAAAATTTTCGTTGTACAGGAATTGCCAGATTATTTGGGAAATTTTATGGATAAGAAACATCCTATTAGTCTCTTTGCAGATATCATGTGTAAATGGCTTAAAATCTTACAGAAATATTTTTTAAAAAATTAACAAATTACAAAAAAAAAAAAAACTTATTCATGAGGGTTTCGATGTATTATTCATTTATCACGACACAGAAAAAAAATAAAATAAAAAAAAAATACATTTGTCGCCGAAATGATTTGGGTAATTGAATCATTCAAATTAAGTTTTTTTTTTTTTTTTGTAGATCGTTACATTTTTAATCAGGTTTTATTTTTTTTTAAAAAAAAAAAGAAATCGCGATTAAATTTAAATGAAGATAATGATGAGAATTCAACGGAATAGATCACTAATTTCCGATCACTATTGGTCGAGAAATCCTTTTTTTCGAAAGGTAATTTCAACTTTTTGGGTTACGACTTTCTGGTTTCGGTTGTTGATCGGCAGGGTCGATATATATACATTATATACGTTTTTTTTTTATTTAAATAAATTAATTAATTATAACAATATTTATTACCGACATTTATTTTATCAGCCTGTCAATATTTAGAGTATTCTTTTTAACTGATTATTCCAATATCGAGAAGATTGAACAATCCGACTAGCCAATAATATTTAGAGGTTGAAAGTTATTATATACAAATAGGGGGGATCTCATTGAAAAAAATTTCCGGAAATTATATAAAAAATTCCTATTCAACTCGAAAGAAAACGCGTTTTTATTTCTTTTTAGCAACAAAAAATTGACATTTAACATACAGCATATATGAATGGTTATCACAAAAAAATTCCTATTAAGGAAAGACAAAAAAAAATTATAATGAAAATTATAGTTTTGTTTCTTTCGCGGATTTTATGAATAAAGGTTTAAAAACTACGGTAATTAGAATACTATGATAAAATTCGAATCGTGACGACCTGATTCTGTAACATTCAAATTATAATCCCGGTCAAATTTCATCAGAAGATCAAATTTCAGCCAAAAAAGTGCAAATTAGATTCCTCGGCCCAAGACGATCGATCATTTATTTTTATATAATTTAAGAAATTTGGCAGACGGCTAGTTTTTGAAACATTTCATAATGAGATCATTTTCATTAGTTCCCTTTATCCAAAACCATCCGTATTTAGTCATACATTCATTTATAATATTTTAATTGTTCCTTATGCTTTATGATTTCAAACGTACCATTATTCGCTTAAAATAATAATTATAAAAAAAATGCATGAAAATTTGATTGAAATTGATTGGTTTATAAATCAGGTAGTGACGATCAGTTCAGTTAAAATAAGGTTTAATCAGTTCATTCGAAAATGATCGTCGTCTCAAGAAGCCAAATTATTATATCAGGTAGGTCATGTAAATTTTCTTTTGTATTACAAGCAATACTCCTTTCTAGAGTGAAAAACTAGTCCAAAAGCGGGAAATTTATACATGCACACAGCGATCAAACTTTATTTTAAATGAGCATACGATGAATCCAATATGCAAAAAAAAGATTTATAAGAAACGTTGATATGTTATTTCGAGCGATAAATGAACAATTTTTTTTTTGATAAATAAATCAATCATTTCATAGGTCGTTTCTATCTGCTACCCTCTTACACACAAGCCATTTTACATACAGCAAGTCCCGAAATTTCACGGGAAGATTTGCCAAGATCACCAGTTTGGTTTTCAAAACAGTTGGTTACTATAATTGTATCCCATACCGTTATCTCCTAATCGGTTCCATACCAATTTTACGAATTCCGAAGTTTGCTTACATCATATCTTCAAAATCAGCAACAAAAATAGCAGACAATGACAAAGAACATTGATGATTCCTTTGATTCTAAAAATAAATTAATTTATTTAAAATGACATTCTTCATTTGTGAAAGAGGTGTGTATGTTAATCGTATAGGAAACATTCTAAACGAGACGCAGTACAATAACATCATCAAATACCTAATTTAGGCATAAACCAAATTAAGGTTAGGAATTTTTGACTTATATATTTCACCCTTTTCCTTTCCCCCATGAATCTCAAAAATCCCCTTTTACAAAAAAAAAAAATGACTGAAAATTCTTCTAGTGAAAGCATTGATGCGGATAGTTGGGTTGAGGATGGAATTGTCAACCATAATATCATTTATCATGATTACGAAGAATTTCAACGTATTCAACGCATAGATACTATAGATACTGTAGAATCAAGTAACGTGTACAAAGCAAATTGGAAGAGTACAAACAACATTGTTACATTAAAATCTTTTGGGGCAAATAATTGCATTACGAAAAATTTTGTTAATGAGGTAAATACATCTATTATAGCGTTAAGGTAACTTTTAGTAATATTTCATATTCACCTTTACTTTTTTTAGTTACATTTATTACATCAAGTTAATTCTCACGAGAATATCATTCGATTCTTCGGCATTACCAATAGAACAAGTCAGTATTTTAATTGTCATCCTATATCATTATTGATTTTATGTTTTATGATCTCTTTTAATTCTACCAAGAAGCTAACCTACCTCTCAAGTATTAAAAATATTTATCATTTCATTTTTTTTTTGTTGTGTTTTAAATAGATTCAAATTACTTGGCCATTTTCGAATATACCGATAGTGGCACGTTAAGCGATTATTTGAAAGAAAATTTCAAAAAATTGGATTGGAAAGTTAAATTACAATTCGCCACACAAATCGTCAGCGCGGTTTCATTCTTACATCAAGAAGACATTATTCATCGTGACCTGGTGAGTATTTCTATTTATCAATCAAATCCTTAATGAATGCGTGCGTATTATATATATTTTATTGATTGATTTTGATATCATGTTTCACGAAACAGAATTCGAAGAGCATCTTGATTCATCAAAATGTAATCAAATTGGCGAATTTCGGTCTTTCGCGTAAATTGTCAGAGATGACATCAGATCCCGTGATGGCCATTTTCGAAACGTTGTCTGACCTTTCACCGGATCCCGGAACTTTGGCTTATATCGATCCACAATACTTCAGAAAGCAAGCGTTTGCTGATGGCAAATTTCAATATGAAATTATCAAGAAATCCGACGTATACAGCGTTGGTGTACTCTTATGGGAAATCTCATCCGGACGACCACCATTTGAAACTTATAATAAGGATGCGTTATTTTTAGAACTTTTAAATGGAAAGAAGGAAACTCCTATCCCCGATACACCAACGAATTATCTTAATATTTATAAAAGTAAGTTTCATTTCATTTATAATGTTTCATTTTATCATAATCATTATTTATCATTCCCATCTGATTCATTATCATTCTTTCATTTTTGTTGAAATGATTTTAGAATGTTGGAGAGAAAATCCGAACGATAGACCGAATATACAACAGGTCTTTACCGAATTGAAGCAAATTAATTTGAATGAGAAATGGGAGAAATTAATGAAAGAATTGGATCAAATGCAATTGGATGAAGGTACAACAACGGTTATAAACTCAAATGATAATGATTTGATTCATAATGAGTTGTTATCATTACTTGACAAAGCCGAACAAAAAGAAATGAAGAGTGGAGAAATCAGGAATGAAGAAACGAATAATGATTATGTTCAATCCATTAAACAGCTTATAATTTTGAATAACAAAAATGAAGGTGAAACGTTCAACTATTTGTTGGAAAATGAAGATAGGCCGAAGAATGTCATTTCTTTGGCTATTTGTTATCAATTTGCGATTGGGACCGAAAGAAATAAAGTTAGAGCATTCAAATTGTATAAAGAATTGGCTGAAAGAGAATATATTATTGCGATATACTTGCTTGGATTATGTTATGAACATGGAACAGGTATTAAAAAGAATGAAATGCAAGCATTTAGATTATATAGAAAAGCATCCAAGAAAGGTTGTGTTATCGCGACATATAGACTTGCCACGCTTTATGAGGAGGGAATTGGAATCGGAAAAGATCAGACCAAAGCATTTGAATTATATCGAGAAGCAGCCGCAAAAGATCACGTTGATGCAATATATAAGCTCGGAATATGTTTTGAATATGGCAAAGGAACAAAAAAAAGTGATATCCAAGCGTTCAAATTCTACGTTAAAGCAACCAGAAAAGGTCATATACCAGCAATGTACAATCTCGGTTTATGCTTTGAGTACGGAACGGGAACAGAAATAAATGAAAGTAATGCGTTTGAATTATATAAAAAAGTGGCCGAACTGGATCATGTTCCCGCAATCTACTGGCTCGGGGTATGTTTTGAAAATGGAAAAGGTATTGAGAAAAATGAAACTATAGCATTTATATTATATCATAAAGCAGCCGGAATGGGTTACATTATTGCGATGAACAAACTTGGAATCTTTTATCAAGAAGGGATCGGAATTGCCAAAAATGAAAATGAAGCCTTTAAATCATATGAATTGGCGGCGAAAAAAGATCACGTTCCTGCAATATATAACCTTGGATTATGTTATGAAAATGGTATAGGAACGGAAAGAAATGGGATCGAGGCGTTTAAATTATATAAAGAAGCGGCCGATAACGATCACCTTCCTGCAATCTATCAACTCGGACTAAGTTATGAGAATGGAATTGGAACGAATACAAATAGAATCAAAGCATTTCAATTATATAAAAAAGCAGCCGATAAAGGTCATACACTTGCAACCTACAAGCTTGGACTATGCTATGAATACGGAAATGGAACTAATAAAAATAAAATTGAAACCTTTAAATCATATAAAAAGGCGGCTAAAGAAGGTCATGTCGATTCAATGTATAAGCTTGGATTTTGTTACGAAAATGGATTAGGAATAAAGGTGGATGAGTTTGAAGCCTTTGAATTGTACGAACAAGCGGCTGAGAAGGGTCATGTTCTCGCAAAATATCAACTTGGGTTATGTTATGAATATGAAATAGGTACAGAAAAAAATCAAGAATATCAAAGGATAGCTCAAGGAAGTTGTGACTTGATATATTACCTTGGAAATTATTATCAACGGGAAACGAGAACTAAACATGAAATTAAGGCATTGGAATTGTATAAAGAAGCTGCTATTGATGGTCATATACCTGCAATATATCAACTTGGATTATGCAATGAGAATGGTATAGGCACAGAAAAAAATGAAAAGAAAGCGTTTAAGTTATATACAGAAGCGGCAAAAGCAGATCATGTATCGGCAATACATAAACTTGGGTTACTTTATGAAAGCGGAATTGGAACCAAATCAGATAAATTTCAAGCACTTTATTTATATAGATTAGCGGCTAAGAAAGATTATGCTCCTGCAATATACAGTCTTGGTTTATGTTATGAGTTTGGAATTGGAACGGAAAAAAATGAGATCGAAGCATTTAAAACATATAAAGTAGCAGCTAAAAATGGAAATGTTACTTCAAGATATAAACTTGGATTTTGTTATGAATATGGAATAGGAACGAGACAAAGTGAAACCAAAGCATTTGAATCATATAGAGAAGCAGCTATTAAAGGTCATACCGACTCTATATATTATCTTGGAAAATGTTATCAACATGAAATAGGTACCGAACAGAACGAAACAAAAGCTTTGGAAATATATAAAGAAGCGGCTAGAAAAGGTCATACTGATTCAATCTATTGTCTTGGAATATGTCATCAGTATGGAATTGGAACGAAAAAGAATGAAAAGAAAGCATTTGAATTATACAAAGCAGCGGCTAAAAATAATCACGTACTTGCAATATCTCAGCTTGGATTATGCTATGAAAAGGGACTTGGAACTAATAAGAATATGGTTAAAGCGTCTGAAATGTATAAAGAGTCTACAAGATATAATAACTTAACAAAGAAATATACAATTTGAAATTTTATATATTTTAAAATATCGTACGTTTGCTTTTTCTTGTAAATTATAAATATGTATATTCAATTATCTTCAATTATAGTAAATAAATAAACAATTGCACATTTATGTGTATTATATTTAAAAATGAAGCATGTATTTTTAAATTCATTAAATTCTGAATATACAAATTAAACTAACACTAAAGAGCCGGCATCTATTGCTTTACTTAAAAGAAAAGAGAAATGTAAGCTTTTATTTAGTTAGTTCATTATTAAATAAAAGAAAAATATATAGATGTCACGTCAACAGCAATTTCAAAGATCGCCTTTAAATTTGGTATTTATTTTTTTTTTAATAAATAAAAAGACTTTCATTTCTTCTCAAGAAATAAATTACTTTTGGAGTGTGGAATGCTTCCCGAAGAGTTTCTCATGATGGGACTTACCTCCAGAACGAATTACATAACTGGCAATAAAAATCTTTTTATTAATCACTAGTTTCATGATGCTCCTCATTGTTTAGCTATTCAATGTGTAATTGTGATATAGTGTAGTTTTTAAAACTTCTTTTAAAATTAACGATGATAATATATAAATAAGTATTATACTAATTATAATTTAAATTCATATTTTTTTAGTAAATATATATATATATATTCTAGGATTTATTAGTGGTAAAATTGTTACAACAGCTCCAAAAGTTGATGATTTACGTTAATATTAGAAAGTTTACTAATTCTTAATTCGAGATAATATCAATGAAAACCTTATAATCTTCACAATATAAAGTGGAGCAAAAATGTTCCTCTTTATCAATTTAAGGATCAAGTTCCGTTGATTTATTCATATTTTGAAGGTCATCCCGTAATGGCTGAGCCATAATTCGAGTATTCTTTCAAAGTCCAATGTTAGTTTGATGAAAATATTATCTTATGTCTTATCAAAAATATTTGATTAACTCGAATCTTCTGTCGTTATCCTCATTTTATAAAATAAAAGGTTTTCAATAATTAGATATTCAGCAAGTAAAGGTGGTGATGGCAAAGGAATATGAATGCGATAGTATCATCAAAAGTGGATAAATGAAACTTTTGGAAATTGATAAGAAATGTCTTTATGATGAAATAAGAGAGCTGTTGCAGCCAAACCTTTCCGATATTTGGCATAAATCCAATCTATTAAAACCCAATTTTATAAATATAGATTATTCATTCCATTTTTTAACGCTCTAATATATATATATATATATATTTCTTTTTGCTGGGTTATGGACTTTACCCTTTACGAAAATGGAAACTTGCAGAATTCAGGATATTTAGATATCATTTACAAAATTTATACTTTTTAGAAAAATATCACATGCAATAAAGCTTATTATGTCGTCGAATATTGAAATTTCCTCAAACACATCAAAACCTTCTTCTACATTAACACCTGATTGTATTTTAGAAATATTACAATATCTTGATGATGATAGTTCACTTTTCAGATATATTTTGATTAATCGTACTTGGTGTAATTTAGGGATTCCTTTTACGGAAGTTAGATCTTCAATTATTCTTACCCTTCTCTTATCTCAATGAGCAATCCAAACTTTGTTTGATTCAAAAAAAAGTTATTCAATCAACAGAGTTATCATCATACACAATTTTGGAATATTTCGACATTTCGATTATTCAAATTTCAAAAAGTCCATTGATGAAGTATATATAACAATAATCAATTCTATTACATTTATATATTATCGGAAATCTGTACTCTTGAATTCAAATCTTTAATCATTTCATATGAGAAAATCGAAGAGGATTATGTTGCCGAAACTCATACTTATTGTGCAAGGATGGAAACGAGTTTTGATTATGACGAGGAAGAAGATTATGATGAAGCGCAAGACATTGATGATTTAAATGACATGAAATCGTTGATAATTTGAGACAAATGGGTTACGAAATAGAAAAAAAATATGAATGAATTTGCTCAGTTATTGAGATGTGCTTCCCGGTTACGCATTAGATCTTCTCGAGTTCACTGGAAGCTTTTGCGCTTTGATGCAACAATTTTTTGGATCAAATTGAAAACATTCCTTTTATTAGTGATAAGAAGTTACATTTTATAATTTTGGATATGTTGAAAGCAAGTATGATGGTGACTTTTTGACAACGATAAAATATTGATTTACTTATCAAATAACAAATTAAGTGAACTAAAGATTGATATGAAATATGACTCGTCAATTCGATCATGGAATGTATTGTAAAAACTTACATTCTTATCGATTCATCCCTCACCCGAAAATTTCCTCACACTTGTTCAAGAAACATTGCCTTTATTAAACAAACTGGAACACTTGATTATAATTGAAAAATCTCACACCTTTTCACTATTAAATTACCAATATGAAGATTTTAAATTTAACATGAAGCTTTTGGCAAAATGTTTACCATCTTCATTAAAGCATCTTGGCATTGCTTTTAAAATTGATGAGGATATTCTTAAATTGAGGTGCAAGTTCATACTTTAGATCTTTATCATATGATCGATTATTAAGTATATAGAAACAAGGAATTCTGTTTTAAAGAAAATTGGAGTTACATTAATTTCCGGTGCATTTAATGATGCTCATTCATTTAATAATTATGGTAGGATTGTAGGATTATGGCGAATTTTTATAAATTGGGAGCAAAGGTTCATGAGGTGGAAAATCATTCACATAATTCCTACAGAGATTTCTTTTATAGTACATTCTGATATATGTAACGATAATATTTTATATGAGATCAATATAATTTGGATATAACGATTTTTTTTCAAGAATATTTTATTCAACATAAATGAACTAATTTTTTTTTAAAAATTAAAAGAAAAATCAAGTTATAAAAATACCTGTATGACCAAGTCATTTAGTTTTTCGAAATATGAAAGTGTAAGTATTGATTTTTATTTTAAAATATAATTAAAAATTTAAATGTCAAAAGCCCATAAGATCTTCATACCTGATGAAGGTAAATATAATAGAAATATAAGTATTTTAGCAAATATTATAATCTGTTAATTATGCTTAAAATATTAGAAGGATTAGATGGTATAGAACATTAATAAATACTCTAAATGGATGCTAGGAAAATCAGGTTCTGATTTTTATTGCATTTCAATTTTTGATGATGTTATTCAAAAAATTTCAGAATCTGATTTTCCTAGCAACCTACCTAAATACTAAATTTTTATATAACCTTAGTAATTAATTTCAAAATTTTTCTCAAATTTAGAACCAGTTTCAGATGCTTCCGATGTCCCTACATTAAGAGAATTATATAGTAGTAATATATACTTATCTATTTATTAAATTAAACAATAATATTTTAATCTTTACTTTTTTTTTTAAAAAAAAAAAAAAATAACTTTTATCAATACTTAGAATGTAAGCCATTTAACTTATACGATTAAAATTTAATTAAACATTTTAATTAAATAATATCTAATGATCAATAATACTTTAGAGAATAAATGATCTTAGATTTTTTATATTATAATTTAAATATAACTAATTTTTTAAAAATTATTTAGTCGGTAAGTTATTTTAATTTATTATATATATTTAATTATACTTTTTACTGTAATTTAAACTTTTTATTTATTTAAAAAAACAACTAATCTTTAGATAATAGGTTATTTTTATTAATTATCAGTATTTAATTATACTTATTATTGTAATTTAAACTTAAATAAATTTTTACTTAAAATAATAATTAATTATCAGTTTTTAAAATACATTTTATTATAATTTAAATTTAACTAAATTTTATACTTAAAAAATAATATTTTAGATAATATAGGAGCTGATCTATTAAAATGAGTTACAGAAACCTTTCAACAAAAAACAAGATTTTTGATTCATATTATGGGTAAAATTTTTAGAGGCTATTAGCTTATTAATAAAACAAGTAATTTGGCTGGCAAAAATGCATAAATTTCTGTGTAATGTCAATCAAATATCTAAAATTAGATTTTATAGAAATGATCGACATAAATTTTAGCAATGATCAACAAATGATTGATATATATAAAAAAAAATGCTTTAAAGTATGGTTTTAATAGTAAAATCTCAAAAATTTCAAGTGTTACAAAATTGATGTAACAATATTTTCTTGGTTAAATTATATTAAAACCTTATTAAAAAATCTGCGAAATTTGGAAAAAGGTAAAACTATATCAAAGCTTATAAAAATGGCGAAACTATATCAAAAACTTAGTAAAAATTTAGCGAAACTAAAGGTTTTACCATTTTGCCAAATCCAAAATGAGTTTAAACAAGTAACCTTAACAATGACTTTCAAAAAAAATGCAAGTAGTATTGCTTGCCTTTAAATGCCTGTAACTCATCATATACAAATTCTAGGAATATGATTTTGTATTTATTTTGAACTTCAAAACCTAAATAATTTTCAGTAAAAATTTGAAGTGTAATTATTAAGACCTATTTTGCGCAATTTTAGCAATCTATATCAAAATTTCTTACTTAATGAAATTTGAGTGTAAAAAAAAATTTTCAGTAAGCTGGCTACTCAAAAACCAATACTGGATTCTGATTTTCCTCAGTGTAGCGATTCTAACAAGCTAAAATTTGTCAAAATCAGATTAGTAGATCAGAATCTCAATTGAAATACTCTTCTATTCTTAGTTGTATTTTTGGATCAGTTTTTTAAAGAAGAAATGTATATAAATTTATATTCAGATATTTCAAATATAATTATGAAAATCAAATTATCAAATGAAATTATCAAAATTATTCATGCCTATCTTTACAGATATAATAATATAAATAATATGTTATTATTAATTATTAAATAAAACTAATTTAATATTTAATTCAAAATTTTAAAAAATACTTTTACCTAAATTTCTACCAGTTATTATTGCTTTTATTTCTAATAAAAGATCAAATATCATTATTAATATTGAAAAGTTACATAGAAAATTAATTAAAGAAATTGCATTACAATTCTATCTTCATATTTTATCATTTAATTCTAATGGTACAATTAAATAATTTCAAGTACAACAATCAATTCTTAATACTCAAATATCTGTAAAGTAATTATTTGTGAATCTTTTTTAAATATTAATTTTTCATATCTATTTTAAATAATATTAAGCTATAATTCATATATAAGATTCAAAATATAAAAAGAAAACTGCATGAAATACTATTATATTAAGAGCACATTTATTAATATTTGTAATATGAGTTAATACATACAAAAATCAGGTTTTGATCATATGATTTATATAGTCTCACAGTATAATTTTTGTATGTACTAACCCATATCATCTGTATGATTCCAGTATCTTTTAAATATTATTAACTATAATAATTTAATAATATTTAAAAATATTATTATTAAATTAGATCAGAAAGATAATAATAATACAGCATATCAAATATTTTGTTTATCAAATCTCAAACAATATCTAAAAATGATTATAAAGTAATCAGATATAGAAGAATTTGTTATATATAAATTATTAAATATTATTTAAAATATTTAAATACTAATTTATAATTTTTTTTTAATAGAAGAATTAATAAATAGCTATCTTAATTATGATATTTCTCTTATTGGACGTATTCATATGGGACGTGAGCTAGGAAAATGACCTTCTGAGATTAATTTACCTTTTTTTTTTTTTTTTTTTTTTTTTTTTTTTTGGTTTACAGGGTCGTTATTAGTATTATTATATTATTA